CTGCCCCTGCGAGTCCCTCCCGCCTCCTGTGGCTCGGCCCAGACTGCGGCGGCGACGGCAGCTCTGACTGCGCGCACTCCGCCCCCTTTCCAGCCAGCTCACTCCGGCCGGCTCCCCTCCGGGACTTTGGACCCCAACTAACTCTCCTTCCCCGCTGGCTTCCACCACTGCCACCCTCTTCAGACGCTTCTCTCTCGGCTTCGTTTCATCACATCCGGACTGGGAGGCTCGAACTCCTGGCAGCCGGCCCGAGGCCGGGGCGGCGGGGCCTGGGTTTGGCTGCGGGCTCCCTCGCGCCCAGAGCTGTCTGGGTCAGGAGGCCAAAGCCGGACGAGGCTGGCGAGGGCTCCCCAGGCCAGGGCTGTCCAGCCCACCCCTCAACTTGCCAGAAAGTTGCCCCAACTCTGTTCCGAGGTTGCCCCTCAAGCAACTGAAGAAAGCTAGGGGAACGCCCCGAGGAAGCTGAAGGCCTTTTAAGGTGGATGAGAAGAAACCAGAAAGTACTACAGTGTCTAACTTTCCCGCTGTGCTTGGAAAACTTCTGGCCCCAGTTCAGCATTAAGTCTCTTCATAGCTTTTTATTTTGAAGCTCTCTGTTTCTGTCGGTCAAACAGGATTCCTTCCCATCAGGTAGAACCAGTTGCACTTGCCCGAGTCCACTGGAAGAAGCATGCAGGGCATGCAGTTGACCCCCGGAGAGGAGATCCGGACTACTCCGGTCCAGGTCTGGCCTCTTGGAATAGTGTGGGACTCACCAGGCCAGTGCTGCCTGTGAGGAGATGACTTGTGGTCGGAAGTTAAAAGCTTCCTTTATAAATAAGACATTTTAATTTTAGCTTAATCTGATGAGCCACGAATAACTAGTGTAATTTGCAGGTAAAAAGTACTTTAACAATATATCCAACTAAGGTGTTCTTTCATTGTGAAAGAAATGCAGAATTCAGTTGATGAAAGCATGAACAAATTCATTTGTTGACTCTAGGAAAAAAAAGAGGTCATAATAATGCAAACAAAACGGAAGAAATGTACATAGGATTCACTTTTTCTAGCTGTATCATTGACAGAACCCCATTTTGATGGGTAAAGTTGATCATGGCTATATGACTATACTACAGGGGTACATTAAAATAGCAGGTAATCACATGCTTTCTGCAAACTGTATCAGTGATTTCTCACATATATTCTCTATAAGGGAAATGCTAAGGTTACCCTGCTTGTGTTAGTTCAGGTTTGTCCGACTTCAAACTCATCCTGCTTCTGTAAGCAAACTCAGGTCTGCGAGAGACATTAGGAGATCATAATGCCATGAGCCTGCCTGTTGGCCCCACATTTTCTCTTACTCCACCCTTTGCTGCATTTACCTGGGTCTAACTGATCGATCTTGGATCATGAGGAGCTGTCCAGTGATCCCATCTCATTCTTTCATTCAGTGTCATGACCCCTAAAAATCCTAAATTCAAATCCCAAATCCCCTATGTTAATATCAGGAGGTGGGGTCTTTAAGAGGGAATAAAATCACGAGACCAGTGCCCTTAGAGCAGGCAGGGTGTACTATTCAAAGTTTGCTTATACAAATTGATCTGCTGTAATGTGTAAAATGATTTTGGTGCACTGAGTTTGGAACTTGAAAGTTCAATGAGAGCAGAAATGATCCTTCAACTTTGAGAGAAAGTTCTTGAGTATATCATGTAAATAATGGTATACAGTGGTGCCTGCAAGATAGCTAGTGGAACTGCCCCACAGGCCACTCAGTGTGTCTGGAGTACAGGCTTCCTGGTGGTACTTTTGTAGCTTGGAGGTTATAAAAGACTTCCCAAAGTAGGTGTGTAGAGTAAAAGTAAAGGACCTCAGCTATGCCCTAAAAGGCAACCCAAGTGTGTCTCTACTGGTTTCTCCCTTCCTCCACACCCTTCCTAGTAGCATAATACTATTATCTGCATCATTATTTAGGTGCCACTACCACCAGTTCCTCACCTACTGTTCCAGATGCTGCTGAATGTTCCATATTAACCCACATTTTACCATGTCTCCTACTACAGTAATCGAAATGGATAGGTACCTGTCATGGGAACCAGCCTTCCAGGGATGATATAGCCCTACTAGCTCTAGATCACAGCCCCCACCTCACAATCCAGGGTGTCTTGCAACCACTCCCGACTAGAGATGGAGTACAAATGGTGATGCAATAAAATATAAAGACATTGTGTAAAAGATCCGACATGTATATAAAAAAGAAATAATTAAAGGTTTATGAAGCATCCTGTGGATTAATATTCACCATTCATTCATTAAACATTTTTATCATTTATTGTACACCTACTGTATGTTAGCCTACACATTCAGCCCTGGATAAAGAAATTTTATTTGATGTCTTGAAAAAGCAGCTAAATTAATTTGCACTTTAACCAAAGCTTATCTGCCTGGGCAAAGCAAAGTTAATACCCTGACATAGATACCTAAAGCAGAAATTTACAAGTAGGATGTAAAACTGTGTTTGAATTCCCAGGGAATATGAGCAGGAAATATTACAATATGCATTTAGGTATGTTTTTATGTTCTTGATTTTAATTCAAATTGTTGTGTATGTACTGTAGCCATATGGCATATTAACATGAGAGTACTTTAGAGTACTTTTATATAATTTATAAGTAAACATACATTAGGAGCTCACAAGCAATTATTATATGAGTCGACTTAAATGTGTTTAAATCACTTAGGGTCAGTTCGTTCAGTCATTCCCAGATTATACCAAGGGTGGCTTTTCCACAGAATATATTCAGAGAATATATCATACACCTTACGTAGAAGTATCATTGTAGCAATCCCCAAACCCAGGAGCTAGAAACAAGAAAATTATCCAAACCATTTAAATATCTCAAATAACTCTCATGACCTTCAGCAAGTACCAACACAAAAGCTGCTGTATTTCTCAAATCTGACTTGTTCTTTTATGAATACACACCATAAAACAAAAAAAAGTTATTCTCTATTTTTTCCTTCACAATGTATTGGAGAGTTTGGGGTACCAGGGTTGTGAGAAGAAGAGATCAGCTGAGGGAGCTATTAGGTAAGTAAAAAGTGACAGCAAGAGAAATGATGGCTGACAGACAAGAAAGACACAGGGAAATAAGCAGGTCATAACTACACCTCTGTGAGTCCAGTGCAGCGACAGAGTCGAGACGGTGTTCCTGATGAAGGCCTGCGTCGTTAAGGAAAAAGTTGGCTATGTGACAACTGGGAATATATTCTGCTCTTTAGAGAATTCGGCAATATTTTTACAATTTAGGAAAATTCCATCCCAAATGTTCACATTTTTAAAATGCTGCTATTTGAAAGACTCAATTTCACAGAACAACAGTTTGGGAGCTACAAAGGAAGTGAGCAGACCTGTTTCTGGGCAGGATTCTTTTAAATGTGTCACTGGGCCTCCTGCTACTAGGTGCTAGGAGGAACTGTCAAGTAGACCGCATCTGAATCTCATTCTTCCAATAAAATGCTTCCTTCTTTTTCTCCATAGCATATCAGTCCTTTGCTTAAATTTTTAACTGAGGGGAAAAAAGAGATCTTTCTTAAAAGATTAAAAGCTACTAAGCTTGCATCTTTTGACATAAAAAGTAATACAAGGACAACATTTTATTTTTTAAGTTCCACCAACATATACCAAGCAAATGTGTCCTACATGTCAAACAACATGCCAGGCCCTAAAGTTTCAAAACAAGAGGGAATTCTGTCTTAGTCTTCTGGAAGCTCAGTCTGCAAAGTAAGGGGAAGGGGAAGGCAGCAGAGCAGAGAGGCAGTCACGTGGTCACAGGAGCACAGAGGAAGTCGCACCTACTGCAGCTCACGCGTGGGTGGGGGGAAGTCAGGGGACCTTTCAAAGAGAAAATGATCCTGAGCTGAGTGTGGCTGCAGAGGAAAAGTTTGGTTGTCAAAGAGGTCAGGGAATTCCTAATGGAAGAGATAACACCTGCCAAAGTGCAGACATGTGGAAGCCCCAGTGCAGTTAGAAGACTTGGCAAAGGCTGTTTTGTACTTTAATTACAGAGTCAGCGGGAAGAACCTAAGTTTCTTGCTACAAAGACCTCTTGCTCCTGTTCTTTTCAGATTGCGTGTAAATGAAGCCATCATTTCTAAGCAAGGGTCCACCTGATGTTGTATTAGGGAGTTAGAAAGATTTCCTGTTGTTCATGTGTGACCAAAGAACCATACACAAAATCTCCTGCTACTGAATTAGCTTGACTGGGCGGGACTTCTGCTCCAGAGCTCTCAGGAAGGGTCCCTCTCAGCTGCCTGACTGTTCTGGCCTGGGGCACTGGCCTGCAGAGTCTCTCCTTGCTGTCACTGTCCTTTCCTTCTGTGTTTGGAAGAAAGGGGAGGAGATGTGATGGCATTCAGTAACACATGTCAAATAAGAGCAACATGACCAAAGACAGAATTGAAAACAGACATAATAGAAGCAGTAGACAATAAGCAGGTTTTCACTTCACACAGAGAGAGTGACCTAGATATGGCAGGGAATTAGAATTGTGAGGAAGCAGTCAAGGCTGTACAAGAAGCCATTCCAAGTGGTGGCTGATCTGCTGAAACTGATATCGGAAATAAGCATGGTGATCCTGACAAAATACTGAAAGTGATGTAGAAGATGAAGCTTTTTGTTATTATAACCCTTAAACTCATATAGATTCTCAGGGAAAGATAAAATACCACTTCAAATCTGATGCTTAAATCAGTGTCTATGTTTTTCAAAACTTTTCTTTAAGTGATACACACTTAATTATAAAAGTTAAGGATTTTAGCTAAATTCCATTGTTCACTTAATCACGAGCCCTGTAATCAAATAAGAAAAAGGAGTTTTCTTAAATATTCTCCATCTCCCATTACTCTCTCTCCTACTCTGCATAGGCCCTATCTGTTTCCACAATCTCATATTCTTCTCTTGCAATTTCAGGTTCCTTACTTTAGACCCTGTGTAGATAGACCTTGTGCCATGTAAGGAAGGAATTTACTTCCTGCATTACACATAAACATATGAATAACTAGTAATCTGCCTAACTCTGGAGCAATTTTGTTCTTATATTCATAGCCCCCCGAAATGTATCCAGGCCCACAAATGGACACAAAACGTTATATATTGCCATAATAACGATGATGATGATGATGATGATGATAATATCTTTATTGAATTTTTATTGATGTATCACGTAATGCAATAAAATTACCCGAAGAAATTATGGCTGATACTTAGCTTTGAAATCACCGCAGAGGTTATCACATTTATCTTTCTGTAAGATTAACAACTTTTTGTTGAAACTTACTTTTATTCTTCATTTTTATTATTTTTACTTTTTATTAAAATAGCCAATCTATACAACGGTATGCTTTCCTTCCCCAAATTTATATAGGCTACTGTAGTCAACTAAATATTGGCACTTTAGAAGATTTGTCCACATCGTAATCCTTAGAAAGTTTGAATATTCCCTTATTTGCTTAAAGAGACTTTGCAAGTATAATTAAGTTAAATATTTTGTCATATAGACAATATCTTGGATCATACATGCAGATCCTACCTAACTTCAATGGCAAGTGTTCTTAGTAAGAGACACACAGAGAAGAAAGACAGCGAGAATCTGTTGTAAAGATGGCTGGAGAGACTGGAATTAAGAGGCCACAAGCCAGGGAATCTGGAAACCATCAGAAAGCAGAAGGGGCATGGAGTGGATTCTTCCCTAGAATGTCCAGATGGAGTGTAGCACTGTCAACACCTCGCTTCAAACTTCTGGTCTTTAAAATTGTAAGAAAAAAAATGTTTGCTGCTTTAAGCTACCAAATTGGTGGTAATTTGTTAAAGCAGCCTCAAAATGTCTTTAGAAATTTGAAATTTAGTCTATTTAGGCCCACTTTTTTAATAATTAGTGAAAATTGCTGCTCTTTCACCATCAGTAGGGAAAGTAATCCACTCTGGATATCTGAAGAGACTAAATCCTTTGACACATCCCCGCTCCAGTACCTCAGTGGCTACAACCCATTTTGTAGCATTAGTTGTCATGACTGTCACGTACAAAGGCCTTTCAAATGTACACAGCCTTTACCATCCATTCTTCAATTTTATCACAAATATGATTGATTATCATTGGTATAATTGACAGGTATTTTCTTAGTTACTTTTCTTGTTGCTGAGACAAAATACCCAACACCTAAGGGAGAGGTTTATTTGGATCACAGTTTATAGATGTTTCAGTCCATGATCAGCTAGCTCCAAGGAAGGGTAGTGCACGGCAGACAGGCATCAAAGAGGAGAAACAATTTGTGGTGGGCAGAAGGTAGCAAAGCAACGATAGACAAAACAGCTATTTCTATCCTTTATATGTTATCCCGGCTATTTAGGGCAGGTAGCACTTGCAGCCTTAATCCTAGTGCCCTTGATCCTAGCATTGTACCATGAATCAATTTTAACATTACACATTTTAGATCCAGCCACCTCTGAAAAAGCCCCACTTCTGACAGCATGATGCTTTGAGGGGTATCTAGATACAAGCCATAATATTCCATCCTTGTCTTCCCAAAGACACATGCACATCCTTTTATGCAAAAGGCATTTAGTCCATCTCTATTTGGGCAGAAGGTAGCAAAGCAACGATAGACAAAACAGCTATTTCTATCCTTTATATGTTATCCCGGCTATTTAGGGCAGGTAGCACTTGCAGCCTTAATCCTAGTGCCCTTGATCCTAGCATTGTACCATGAATCAATTTTAACATTACACATTTTAGATCCAGCCACCTCTGAAAAAGCCCCACTTCTGACAGCATGATGCTTTGAGGGGTATCTAGATACAAGCCATAATATTCCATCCTTGTCTTCCCAAAGACACATGCACATCCTTTTATGCAAAAGGCATTTAGCACATCTCTATGAGTTGCCAAAGTCCTAACAGTTTCAGCATTGCTGAAAAGTCCAAGTCCAAAGTCTCCTCTGAGATTTAAGGCAAACTCTTAGCTGCAAGCCCTTGTACAAATGAAAAACAA